AACGGCATTATTTTTAATCAAAATATAATGTGATCAGTAGGGGCGCCTGGGTGGCTCAGTTGGTTAAGCATCTGCCTTTGGCTCAGGTCATGATCCTGGGGTCCTGGGATCGAGTCCTTTGTCGGGCTCCCTGCTCAGCGGGAAGCCTGCTTCTCCCTTTCTCTCTACCACTTGTGCTCTCTCGCTTGCTCACTCGGGCTCTCTCTCTCAAATGAATAACTAAACCTTTTTTTAAAAAATAATGTGATCAATATACATTTGTGTGTTATTTACACTGAGTCCTCTCCTTTCTCCCATCCGTGCTATTCCCACCTGGGGAGCTGCAATTCCTCACTTCCCAGGAGAATCCATTCATTTCTACAAATTAAGAATTAAGACAGATACTAATGACATAATCTTTACCCACCTCCTACTTTCTTTTGATTAATTTTTCTTAAAGGGGGACACAATAAGGTGCTCTTAGTGTGCTGGTTATGACACTTTAGGGCACAAGTACAGAAGACAACTGTATTAGAATAAGATTTGTCTGTGGATAATAATAACACAGGTAACACCAGCTTAAATAAGATAGTACTTTATTTCTCTCTTACTAAGGTCCAGAAGTAAGTAGCTCAGTGCTGGTATGGAGGTTTACTACAAGAAGTCTTCAGGAACCTAGGTTCTTTCTGTCCACTTACTTTACTCTGCCTGAACTCCTTCTGAAAAGGACACCTCAGGGGTGCCTGGGTGGCTCAGTCGGTGAAGCATCCAACTCTTGATTTTAGCTCAGGTCACGACCTCAGGGTCCTGAGATTGAGCCCAGCGTCAGGCTCCACACCCAGTGTGGAGATTCTCTCTCTGTCCCTCCCCACTCTGTTCTGCCCTCCCCCCACCACTTATGTGCACTCTCTCTCTAAAAAACAAAAACAAAACAAAAAGCTTTTTAAAAAATCAGGGAAGAATGATATTGGGGGGTAACCAGCACTCTCTACCACCCCAACTCAAAGAGGAGTTAGCATACTACACAAGAAATACTCAGGAGTAGGATCAGCAGGCGATCAGCACGAGGTGTGCCAGGGCTCCAGCTTCTCTTCTCTGACACTCCGTTGGCCTGGCAATGCCCCAATGTTGGCTGTGTCTTTGAGCTAGCTCCCTTCCTACTCAGTAGTTCCAGGCATCATATCCAAATGCCACAAAGTCCGAAAGAAGAAGGGTAAGAAGAATATGTCTCTACCCTTTGTCTCCTTTTTGAAAGGGAAGAGAACTTTCTTAGAAGCTGCTAGCAAACTTTCCTTCAAGCCTCACTGGCCAGAATGCATCACAACCCCATGCCTTGTATAATCACTGACAAGGAGAAGATACCACCATGACAGGCATGGACCGATCAGCACCCACCCCAAAAAAGCCGTAAGTGGGGTGAGCTTCTCTGAAAGCTTTGCATAAAGGAAGTTCAAGACCCAAACAAAATTGGGGTTCTGTTTGAAAGAGGAATGGGGAAGGGATGTTGGGTTGACATCCAACTGTGCCTACACTCCATATTCTAATTTCTCATTATGATATACTGCCATTTCTAGCCAGATAAATTGGACTCTCAGATCACATTGTCATAATTATCCTTATAAATCAGCCCAGTTCTTATGCCCATCTCCTACCAACAAATCGTGACTGAAGAGTAAACAAATGTGTGGAATAGTACACATCTAGATTAAGTAGACTGCAAACATGTACACTGCTCCCTATCTTCCATTCACCTTGTCTGTGGAGATGTCACTCCAGGCACTGGTATCAGTACAAATTTCATATACAGCCACCTAAGTTAACCCTTTCAGTATCAATATGAGAAAATCTCCCTAAGAGAAATACATGTTGTTTTTAAGCTGAAATTCATTTCCTACTTTATAAGCATCAGATCTCCGATGAGCATTTCACTGGAAGCCACTGGGCCCTCACAGGAAAATATGACTGACTGCAATAGTAAGTCTAGAAAAAGAACAGTCCACCAGTCCCCACCCAGACCTGTGTTAAGCCACAGTTCTCAGCTACAGCACTGATTTCATAGTACTCTTCTGACCTTCCACAGGACTTATGTGGGGGGAGTTTTCAGGTTCATTTTTCTTTTGATTTATTAACAATCCAATGGCAATTTTAAAAAAAGGAAAGACAATTATTGCTCAAACAGGAAGACATCGTGTGCTCTGAAGCTATAGTTCACTTTTTTGCATATCAAAGTTTAAAAAGTAAAAGAAAACCCAGCATAAAGAGAGAAAAGTGCCTGAAATTTGTCAACCAATGCCTGGATTATATGAGCTTTCCTTCTCATTAAAAGAAGATCCTTTTAGGTCGGTGCTAAAAGCATCACTGAAGGCTAAAACAGATGACACTGTCCATATGATTACAAGGAAGTCTTAGTATTATTTCTTAACTGAAACATCTTTATCAATAAAGTTACTGAAAGTTTCTAGAAGCAATACTAAAAATTTATTCTGTGGTAAGAAAAGTGTGGTAGTAATTTTCAAAATACCTTTAGAAATGAAGTAACTCCTTAATACTTCTGATATCCTTTTACCTAGAAATTTACTAAATCCTAAGAAATAATGTATTTTCGAAACATCCATGTGATGAACATGACTATCAACACAAAGTTTCGATGCACACAAATTGAACGGCAGCTGTTAAATGATTTGTCTAAAAGTAAATGCTGATTCAGACTCATTAGCATACCAGAAGTTCAGCTGCTTATAACACATACAAGATTAAGTTAACAAAACTCACTCCAAATATACGGACTAGTTATTCTCCATATGTTAGCAAAGTTTATCAAGCTTGAAGGAAAGTTACTGAATCAGCTCTAGGAGCTTTCAAATCCATAATATTTCACTGGCAGCTACTTTATGAGAAACAGGTCATAAAATTGTATTTAAACTTTACTGTCATATTTTCAATTGTTCTGCATACAATTAGGTCAAAACTTGAGAATATGCATGGGCTAAATGATGGGCAAGGTGAAAAAGATAGGGTTATGGTTTGTTTGTTTGTTTGTTTTTTCAGGGATCTGGGGCTTCAAAACCATCAGGAAATCACAGCCCCATGACCTTCATGTGCTCATGCACTAACAATTCACAACGCCATGCATTTTTCCAATGCTCTTTTCTTCTTTGGCAAGACAAGTATTCTCAAATGAGGCAATGTCTCATTTTCTCTGGAGGTATTCTAACTTTAACTCTTCTCTTTCCTTTGCCTGTGCATACCTTGAAAGTGCCCTCCCAGAGAATTACGAGATAAAATCGAACAGGACTTGTGGATTCAATGACTGTTACACAATCTGCTATAGTTTTATTCATTCAGAACGTATTCATTCCAAGTCCTTCCTGTGCACTAGCCATCTCATACTTTTGTATGTGTAATAATTTAACTTCACAATAAAATAAAAAGTAACACGTTTTCTTTTCACGTGAATACAATGCTTGCATCAGCAGCAACAATGGTCAGGACTATGAAGTCTTCAAGAACCTTAATCCCTTACATTGCTGGACTTCCACTGACTACTATAGATGGCCATGATTCAGCTTTAGGTGTTTTTAAGCTTTGCAGTGAAATAAAGTCTTATAAAAGAAATGGCATAAACATATTTTGCAAATAACTAAATGCAAACCCCTTCTCACTGTGTTCTCCTATAATTGTGTCAGTCCCTTACACCCTGGTGAAAACAAGCACATAGCCAAATTTGTAAGACTCGAGACAGCCTTAGTTTAGGTGTTTTACTAATATAAATAAGTCATCCATCTTTCTCCCATGTTAAATAAACGACACCAAAGGAATACTTGACCAAGTTGTATCCCCTAACAGAATGGGTTGTTGATGATCCTGCCTCCAGAAGTACCAGAGCAGGAGGAAGAATCTGGAAAGTCAATTACATTGCTCTCAAGTGCCCTGATTTGATATCCTTTTAAAATGGTTATAAATGTTGTGGTGACTGAAAACAAATATGGAATAAGAACACTAAATAAACGCTTTCCTTTTAGGAAAGATTCAGGGGCCAGAAAGAGAAAAAGAACGTAATCAGGAAGAACTTAACCATTTCTTTACAGAATTAGGGTAAAACTTACAGTTCGATACCTAGTTTAGAAGGTATTTCTAAAGCCAGAAAATTACTAAATTCACAAGATAACCAAATGTTAGGTAGTGGTTGTGGGCAAGGTTGCCAGGGAGGAAGAGATAGGCGCCAAATATACCCAGGAGGGCCATGATTTTCTGCAGTTTCAATTCAGTTTGGGTCTTTTTTTTTTTTTTCTGCCTCACACTCTATATCTCTGGAAGTCTCCCCAGCTGAGTTTCTCTCCATCTATAACTTTAGCAAGTGTTACAAAATATGCCAATGTTCCTCTTTTGCCTCCCTCCCGCCCCCCTCCAGAGAGGGAAAGGAACCGTACAACCTGGGAGCGTAATGACAACGGTCCTTTCTGCCTCTGATGAAATCATCCCACAAGTGATCTGAAAGTTCAAGTGAAGCTGTGGCCGATACCTCGTTTTACAAAACCAAGCCAACGTTACCAGGAGGGAAATTCTGCTTTATAGGCCGGGAATCCCCCGGGAAGTCTCCATAAACGAGGGATATCCCCGCGGCTCTCTTGAGAAAGAGCTCAGAACTTAGGGGAGAGCAAGGTGTTTCTGGGCCCGGGCCTAAACAGACCCCAAGGCGGGCTGAGCGGAGAAAACGAGGTCTTGTCCCCCACCCCGCGGCCGGCACCTGCCTCCCGCAACCGTGCCGCCGCACTTCCCAGAGCATCCCCCGCCCGCTGGCCCCCCGGCCCAAGCGCAGCTCGCCCGAGCCCGGGGCCGCAGGAGAAAGCTGGCCGGGCGAGGCGCCCTTGGGCCCCCGAGGTCCCCGCGCCCGCAGGTGGAGGGCGGGGCGCGGGCCGAACACCCGCTCTCCACGCGCCCTCTGGGGCGAGGGTCGGTGCAGCTGTGCAGGCCCCCCGGGCGGGCGCGGCGCTCCCGGGAAGCCCGCCCCGCGCGCGTACCTCGGATGTAGGTGCACTTGCCCTCGTCCAGCAGGCTGGAGGCCGAGCCGCCCATGGCGGCGGTGCGGGCGGTGCACCCCGGGCGGCGCTGACAGCTGCCGTCGGCGCCCGCCGCTCGTTCCTGGAGGTGGCTGCGACGGCGAACCCGGCTCTGCAGTTAAAGGACAAACTTCCTCCGAGAGGCGCCGCCTTCTGGGGCGCCTCCTCCAGGTCCGCGCCCTCTGAGGATCTGTGGGCTGGCCCGGGGGCTGTCTTCCCGCCCTCGCTTCACTGGGGAGCTCCGAGGGGATGTCCAGGCTGGAAAGACTTCCCGTTCATTCCTTCTCCTTGCTGGCTTTTTGCCTCTTCTTCTCACCGGTTATGGGCAGCCGAGAAACACCTTTGGGTAAGTGGACAGTTTCCCTTAGTGACTGTAAACCTCTGTGAGCTGGAACCTTCTCCACTGACAAGCCACACGAGGTGGAATTCAAGACCCTATTGCTTTGCACGCCCTCCGGGTACAAGAAACAGCAGTTCCCAAGCATCACTTAAGAACTTGTTAGAAATGCAAAATTGCAGCACCCCCAGCCCTCTATACCCCTCTACACATGTACGTGCGCACACACACTGCACCCCAATTAGAAACTCCAGGAGTGGGGCCCAGCAAACTGTGTTTTCACAGGCATGCCAGGTAGTTCTGGTGCCTGCTGAAGTTTGAGAACCGACAGTAAACTGTACCTTCCTGCAGCCATGAAGTAGGGCCAAGGAGGGGGTGAGAAATGAAGGGGGAAAAAAGAAAGGGAGAAATAGAAAAACAGGGAAAACCTAAACCTGGGTCCTGCAATATGTTGCCAGTCCTGAAACTTCTGAAGACCCCCATCAAAGTCTGTTCTTAACACCTTTAGGTCCAGTTCTTCCCCTTGACAAACTGGAAATAGTTCATTAGAAAGGGCATCTATTCTTTTTCCCACAACCACTATTTAGCTTGGCTGCCTCTCCCAAATAACACTCAGCTGGGGCAGAAGGGTCACCATGCATTTCTTCCTATTCTTAGTAATCAGATTTTTAGTGACTCCTATTGACTTAACCTCCAAGGTCAAACGGTCTGTACACACAAGAACCAGGCCTGAAGAGGACTTGGAAGGCTTTGCCCTCAAAAGTTAATTAACTAGCATTTTAATGCCAAGATTTCTCACACCTCACACCCAATCTCTCTCACCCTACACTCTAATCCATCAATAAAATCCTCTCCATTCTGCTTTGAAAATATATCCAGTATCCACCCATTTCTCACCCCTTCCCCTGCTATCACCCTCATCATTTCTCACCTGGATAATTATACTAGCTTCCTAACTGGTAAGCCCCGGTATATTATTGACACTAGGCCCCACTTCCTCATCTACCACCACTCTCCCCCTTGCTCTCTGTTCCAGCCCCACTGGCCTTTTTGCTCTTCTAGGACACACCTTTGCATGTGCTCTTCCTTAGCCTAGGATGGTCTGCCCTCAGATATTCACGTGGTGCACTCTCTGTCTCTTATTTCATTCAAATCTCCTCTTAAATGCTAACACCTCAAAAGAGGCTTTTTTTTTTTTATCCCCTGTTTATACACCGGCCCTCATGTCTGTCCCACTCCTTTCCCTTCATTATTTCTATTCATATCACTTAGCATCATCTGGTATGTTTCTTTATCTGTCCCCACTGAAATGGAAACTCCATAAGGTTGGGGATTTTCTTTGTTGATGTTGTTTCTTGTTTGTTTGTTTTTTTAATTATTCGTTTTCTTTCTTTTTGCTTCTTTAAGGGCAGGATTTTTGTTCACTGTGTTCTCTGATATATCTCAAATGCCTAGAACAGCATCTGGTACATAGGTGCTCAATAAAAAACATTGAATGAGTGAATGGGTGAAATATAAAATATCGGATCTGGACTCAACGAAAGCTGTGAATCTCGAAATAAAGAGCATTTCCAGGTAGCTACTCAATGATTCAAAGTCTTCAATGTTCAACTCTTTTCTCAATATTCTAGTTAGCTCTTAGAATAAATAAATTGCAAAAGTTGTGCCTCAGAATGCTGTTATTGTTATTGAAGAAAACTAATTTGGATCTTCTGCCAGGGGATAGTTTTGGCTTGTCACCTCTTGTTTGGAAACAATCTGAGAAAAGACTGATTATTCTCATCTCTCATTCTTAACTCATTTGTAGCATTCACAGATGGAGCAAGGTACAAGGAAGGATTCATATGTGTGTAGTATCAACAAGCTTTGTAACCACACTTTCAGCTTCAGATCCTAACCTGAGAACTTAGACATGTGACCCGGTCAAATTGCCTAACTTACTTGTTTCAGTCTCTTTATCTGTTAAATGGAGTTGGTAACAGTTACCTCATGTGCTGCTGTCAAAATTACATTTGATCAGGTCTGTGAAACACTTAACATATTCCCAGGAACATAGTTAAGTATTCAGTAAATGGAAGCTCGGATTGTTATTATCAGTAACAATAAGAGTGGTCAAGGAAGCAATTTTCTAGAGAAAGTATAATCGTAATTAGAACTTGAAAATCACTGATATTACATTAAGAAAGAACTTCTGCTCCCATTTTTTCCCCCCAAATAAAGCTCCTTTCCTCCAACTGGTTTACAGGAAAAAATAAGGAATCCATTATTTTAGTCACAGTATTTAATATTTGCAAATCCTATGTGGGCATCATTTTATTAATCACACGCTAAAAATGAGTCTCCAAGCAATTCAATAACTTTATGAAACAGATTCAACTTCATAGGATTCAAATCAGCTAGTTTAGAGAACTTCCTATGCAATGTTAGTTTTTGTATTATATCCATGTATTTTGTTTTAAAATACTCTTAGGACCACTTCTTTCTCGGGGGCGCCTGGGTGGCTCAGTCAGTTAGGTGTCCAACTCTTGATTTCAGGTCATAATCTCAGGATTGTGAGATCTAGCTCTGCGTGGGGCTCAGTGCTGAGCGTGGAGCCTGCTTAAGATTCTCTTTCTCCCTCTCCCTTTCCTTTTGCTCCCCCAGCCTCAGTGTGCTCTCACCCTTTATCTTAAAAAAAGGGGGAGCGCACCGGGGTGGCTTAGTCAGTTAAGCATCTCCTTTGGCTCAGGTCCTGATCCCAGAGTGCTGGGATCCAGTTCTGTGTCGGGCTCCCTGCTCTGCGGGGAGCCTGCTTCTCCCACTGCCTCTGCCTCTCTGTCTCTGTCTCATGAATACATAAAACCTCAAAAAAAAAAAAAAAATACACAACCGCCCCCCCACACACACTTCTTTCAGGTAAATAGCACATTCTAAAATGATTACTTTTTTAAATATCTTAATCGAGATATAATTCACATACCATAAAATTCACCCATTTAGATTACCTTTTTTAAAGGAGATTAGATTAATAGACATTTAGTCCTAGTACCTGTAGAATAAGCATGTGTTTTGGGATCCCCTTACCTGTCATAGAACTATGAACCCCTTGTTTGCCATGTTCTCGTTTGAGTTAGTGACATCTGTCTATTTGGGCATTTAACTGCCTGCAGAGCACGGACAATCTCAAACTTCTCTGCACTTCCCCAAGTACCCTGTATGGCTGTGTCATACAGGAGTGGGAGGACTGTAATTACTTGATTGTATGATAAGTGCACATGATAGGTTATTACCAGTAATCCAATTTAATCTTCACAGAAACAGATTGAAGTAGGCACTGTTATTAGCACCATTTTATATTTGCATTTTTTTATTGTTATGTTAACCACCATACATTACATCATTAGTTTTTGATGCAGTGTTCCATGATTCATTGTTTGTGCATAACACCCAGTGCTCCACGCAGAATGTGCCCTCTTTAATACCCATCACCAGGCTAACCCATCCCCCCACCCCCCTCCCCTCTAGAACCCTCAGTTTGTTTTTCAGAGTCCATTGTCTCTAATGGTTCGTCTCCCCCTCCGACTTACTCCCCTTCATTCTTCCCCTCCTGCTATCTTCTTCTTCTTCTTCTTTTTTTTCTTAACATATATTGCATTATTTGTTTCAGAAGTACAGATCCGATATTAGCACCATCTTAAAGATGAGAAAAATCAAGGTGAAGAAGTTTAAGCAGTTTAACTAAGGTCATCTGTCACCTGGGTTTATCTAACTCCAGAGTTCATCTTCTTAACCACGGATGCTACTACTTTTATATTAAATCTTGCTGTTGTTTATTTACATAAATAATCCAGGTTTTACATAAAAAATTAGAAACTACTGACAAACAAAAAGAAAAAAAAGGGGGGGATCATCCAGATCCCAAAGTCAATATCTGTATTTTATTTATTTATTTATTTATTTATTTATTCATTTAGATAGAGAGAAGGAGAGAGAGTGCACGTGAGCCAGGGGAGGGGGACTGACAGAGGGAGAGAGAGAATCTTAAGCAGGCTCCATGCTCAGCGCCAAGCCCTGGGTGGGGCTTGATCTTACAACTCTGAGATCGTGACCTGAGCTGAAATCAAGAGTCCAACGCTTAACAAACTGAGCCACCCAGGTGCCCCAATGTCAATATCTTTAGATAAATAAAAATCACCAGTTTGCTATAGATTTCTACAAACTTACATAGAAACATACGTGCAATTATAAATTAGAATTAAATAAAAACTTATTTATAGTTAGTTACCAAAATGAGGTGATGCTCTTTATATATTCTGTAATCTCTATTGTCATTTTTCCTTTGGAATATTTCATTTAAATAAATATGTAGGTCTAGGTCAATGATAGTTCATTGTGTAAATGTAACCTAAATCACCTATCTACCAGCAATGTATGCCTGCTTGTTTCCCTACTTCTCAGTCACATTGGACATTTTCATATCTTTTTTGAATTATCGTCATTAATTTCATTATTCATTTTATTTTATTTTTATTTTTTAATCATTTTTTAAAATTTTATTTATTTATTTGATAGCGAGAGACACAGCAAGAGAGGGAACACAAGCAGGGGGAGTAGGAGAGGGAGAAGCAGGCTTCCCGCTAAGCAGGGAGCCCAATGCGGGGCTTGATCCCAGGACCCTGGGATCATGACCTGAGCCGAAGGCAGATGCCTGATGACTGAGCCACCCAGGCGCCCCTATTTTTTTTTTTTTGAAGATTTTATTTATTTATTTGACAGAGAGAGAGATAGCGAGAGCAGGAACACAAGCGGGGGAGTGGAAGAGGGAGAAGC